ACGCTCCTGCTGCCTCCATGGAGCCAAGCTCCACACCTGACACAAAAGGCAGCTCTGTCTGTCCCTGGATCCTGGCTAAGCACTCACTCTTTCTGCAGGGCCAGCTGCCAAGCTCAAGCCTTTCAGGATGCTGATCCCTCCAGCAGCCCAGCATTGCCTGGCTCCTGCATACTTTAGGAGTAATTATGCTGTCGTGGAATTCACAAGGTTTGCTTTTTTTCCCCCCAAACAAAAGCTTAAACTTTCACATATTGTATCTGGTCAGGAAAAAAAATGAACTCCAGTGTGTGGACTAACAAATTGGTTTGCAGCTCTTCCAACAGCACAGCTAATGAAGAAAAGACCAAAGGACAACAGCAACAAGCTCAGCTACAGGGTAGTTTGGGAAGAAGGTAGCATAACCTTAATCAAGCAAACAACACAGACCCAGGTGTGGTATTCACACAGCAAATGTGCAACCATGGCCAGGGAGGTTCAAAAGTGACACCCAAAGAAAAACCATCCCAAGCACGGTGGGATTGACAGGAACACACCCCTGACTCTGGAGGGCAGGATCTCTCACAGTGCACCCGAGGGTCAGGAGGCTGCTCCCTCCTCTCCTCCCACCTCCAGCTCTGCAGGAGAGGCACTGGGGTTTGGATTTCCTCTGGGACCTGCCTGTGGGACAGGACCAGCACAGCTCCACTGGCACCAAGAGGAGCAGCAGGAAACACGAGCCCAGAAAAGCAGCACAGCCTCCAGCTCCTGTAAAGCACCCAAAATCTGCACAACCACAGCTGAAGGGCTGATGCATTCTGGCATTGCCTTCTGCCTGTGAGAGTGACAATTTGGACAGGGAAGCCTCCTGGAGTGCCCCTTTCCCCCTCACCAATGCTCTAAAGCAGCCCTGCTGCCCACAGCAGCCTTCCTCACCTCCTCCTCCCCACAGGCAGCCATCAGACTGTTTCAAACACACCTAATGAAAACCCACTGATGTCCCCCTCCATTCTCACTGAAAACACCACTCAGCTCCTGGCTCAGCCTGCAGAAAGCCGAGTGCCTCCTGCTCATTCAGCCCTCGAGCCAATGCACCGTGAACTGGTGACAGAGCACAAACAGCTTCACTGCACCGTAAATATTTGCCAATTTTATCAGCACTGGGAATGCACTGAGCTATTTGTTTACTGCACTCAGTGAAACACAAGAGAAGCTTCAGAAAGTTTCCTTTCTTGCTGCATTAATCAAGATGAAACTTTTTAAAACCACAAAGAAAAACCAATAAACAAAATCACCAAAAAGGTGAAGAAAACAATGTTTCCTCTCCACCTACTGCTCTTAGTGAGTGTTCCATCTCAGTTTTCCTCTTCTCCAGCTGCCTTTGCAGCCTGCTCCAACACCAGGCTCCTGCAAACACTGTTGCAACCTTTATTGCCACCTCTTTATCTCCACAGGCACACAGCAGCAGTGACTGGCAACAGCCACAAAAGGCAACGAGGGCATTCCAAGGAGATACAAGCACAAAGTTTCTCACACTGAGGCACCAGAAGAGGCTGCCCAGAGGAACTGGCTCTCCCATTCCTGGAAGAATTTCAGAAGGAGCAGAGCTTTCCAACCACTGCAGCAGGACCAGCCACAGGTTCCCAAATCAAAGCAAACATAGCTCAGTTCTTATAGACACTGGAAATCTCCCAGACTCACGGGCTGCCAAGTAAGTAGGCTTTAATTTCTTCCCATTGGTGACATGAAGTAAAACAAGATGAAAATCCTCTCTTCATTATTCCTGTCAGTCTAACCCTCCTCCTCAGCCGTGTCCCACAAAAATGGCAATTGAGCAGCCGGGGGAGGAGGGGATCGGTGCCCACGCAGGGAGGGGGAGTGCAGCTGACAGCTCCAACACAGGAGCTCCCTTCCCTGCCTCCCCTGGGAACCAGCACAGCACCAGCAGGGGAAGGGGGAGCAGCACAGAGAAAACAAACACATGGACACAAGGGAAACAAAGCAGCAAGCAGAGCAGTGGCACTGCCAAGAGCAGCACAGACCCTCTGAGCACACAACAAACACCATCTCATGTAACTTCGAGGGGTTTTCTGGGGAATTCCCAGAGCTCAGCTCTGCTTTACAAGTAGAAAGATGCAAGCAAAGACACACAAGTTCATCAGACAGTCCCACTGCTCATGACCAGACTGGAGATGCTCACTAGCCAAGTCTCCTCACTGCCAGCTCCAAGCTCCCAGGTGCTTACCAGGACCGAGAAAACAGGATTAAAAATGGAAACTGAGGGGCTACTCCATGGAATGGCTCTAATTCAGTTCCAAACCAGCTTCTTTATTTAGGCTAGAAGTAACTGGCCTGCTCAAGATGAAGTCCACTGCAGGGCCAGGAGACAAAACTCTATCACCAAGATCCTCAACTTCTGATTAAAAATGGGTCCATTCTCACAATCCTTACTGGACCCCACTGTATGTAAAAATAATAATAAAACCCCTTGACCAGTTAAGCTGAGCTTAGGGAAAAGGCAGAAGATGGAACCAGGAGTGATAGCTGCCTCTCCTGTCTCAAGGACAACCCAAGCTACAGTCTCATGTGACCAAAAATACTACTGAAAAGGAAAGAACTTTCCCAAAATAAGTACTGAGAACATTTAGCTGTCATCTTTGCTTAAAGGTCTCACAGGACAGAAGCACCAGAGTCCAGTTCCCAAGTCCTCTAGCATGTTCAAAGGCTGTTTTAAAATTAAGATCCAAGCAGGGAGAGAAGAAAGATTTTCTACAATTGCTGCTACCAAAAGAAGAGGGTGCACTTTAGGCATCTTTTAACGACAAAGTTACAATATTTTATATACATGAAAAATGTAACATAATAAGAGATGAGACTCAATTTCAAGGCCTATCATTTGATTCCAAGCTGGGGACAACACTCATGGCTGAATACAGAGCAGTTGGGTTTGCACACAGGGAACTGAAGTGAGTTTTCCCTTGGTTTCCTCCAGACTAAGGAGGAATGGACACAGCCCTCAGAGCCCTCCTGTCTGACCTTCCCAGGCCAAGACAAAGAACACTGGGGATGGAATAGAGCAATTATTTTATTAGACACAACAGGCAGGAGGCTATCCTTCTGCTCAAGGATTAGCTGAGCAAATACAGAGATATCCAGGAACATTCGCAGATATTGAGAGTGATTATAGAGAAAGCAGGACAATACCAATGATCACTTGGCATTTTTCTTTTAAAGAAAAAAGTATTTCCTTATCTGTATCAACCTCAGCATGAAGGCATGGTTTTCCTGCTATAAACCCCTGCTTATCCTCACTCCTTCCAAAGCGTAACTCGCCACCTGTCATTTCAGTTTGCCAAGCTGCACTGGGCACTTTGCCCCAAAAAAATCACAGCTTTAAACGCTGGATTTTAAAGCCATTCATTATGGAACAGCATTTAAATCTGCACAGGTCAGAGAGCTGGCTCGGGAAGGAAAACAAAGAGAAAGTTAATCAGCACTGGTTGTGTCAGCACATACTTCAGAAGCAGTGCAGAGTGCTCCGGGTCAAATCAGTGTGGTCCAAGGCACTAAAATGAATCCAGAAGAGGTCCGAGGTGTAGGGCAGTGGGACAGAGAACATCCCTGTCCCCGAAGGTCAGCCTGTGCTTCCCAGACAAGCCGGGATCTCATTGCCTTCACTCTCTGCATCCCGAGCCAACAGCCCCTGGCGCTGTGGGGAGCGGCACTGATTTACTCCTCGTAACCGAGTAAATAAATGCCTTTCATTCACTAAACCTCCACTCGTCGGTAGGTGAACGCTTGAGCACCCCGCATTCTCCTCTCGCTGAAGGCAGCGCTCCCCAGGGCGCAATCCCGCACGCAGCTCCCGCCCAGCAACTTTCCATCGCTCCCAGCGCCGAGCCGCTCCCGCGGCCACCGGGCCCGCCCCGGCCCCGGGGACAGCTGCGAGCGGCGGGACCGGGAGGAGGCACGGCCGGAGGAGGAGAGGGAGGCGGCGGTGTTTAGTCTGCCAGCCGCGGGGAAGCCGGCGCGCCGGCGCCCTCCCGCCCCCCTCCGGAGGCTGCCGGCTCCCGTTACGTAAGGGCCGGGAACCCCGGCCGGCAGCGCCGGGACACCGGCCCCTCACCGCGGGGAAGGCGGGGGGCGCCGGAGCGCTGCCACGTATCGCCCCCACCCACCGCCGCCCGCGCGGCAGCCGCCCAGCCCCGCGGCTCCCCTCCCCCCCACACACCCGCCCGGCCACCCTCACGGCCGGCGGGACGGGGCGGCCGGGCCTCACCTGAGCACGGGGGGCGGCTGGGCTGGGGCGGCACCGGAGCTCCGCGCTCGGCCCGGGGGCTTCACCGACTGAACGCACCCGGCCCCGCCGCCCCTCTTATAGCCTCGCCCGGCCACGCCCCCTCAGGCCACGCCCTCCCTGGCGGCGCGGCCCGCGCGCTACGTGAGCCCGGTCACAGCGGCGGCCGCCGCAGCGCGCATGCGCCGCCGCCACGGCCGCGGCTCCACGTGGGAGCGGGCAGGGAGCTGGGAACGGCCCCGGAGCGGCGGGCTCGGAGCTGAAGTTGCCAGAAAAGGCCCAGAAGAGCGGCCCCGCACCTTGCTGCCAGGGCAGCCGCGCTCAGCAGCAGGGAATAATGAGGCTGGAAGAGTCCCAGGTCTGTGCCGCCGCGCTCGGGACCCTCCCAGGCGCTTGGAAAAGCTGCGCGGGTGAGTCCTGCTCGGAGACGGCGATGCTGGGGTGTGGAAAACGCCAATCACTTGGCTTTGAAATTTTAAAAGTTTAATAGTAATAAAATGGTTATAAAAATAGTAATATAATTAGAATAATAAAATTTGAACATTTGAGGTTAGGACAATACGAGACAATAAAAACAAAGAGATACGGACGTCCGGGTACCTTTTTCTGGGCAACACCAGCCCGAAAAAGGATCCCCGTTAACAGAGGATTAACCCTTAAAAACAATTGCCTGTTGCATATTCATACATCTCATACATGATGCATAAATTCCATTCAAACACAGGATTCTGTCTGGTCACTGTCAACTTCTTCCTCTTAATCCTCATGCCGTCTCCCAGTCTGAGCAAGGTGGGAAGAAGTTAGTTTTCTGCTGATAAGGGAGCAATAAATTCCCTTTCTCTGAAAGATTTAGGTGTCCTGCAGCCGCCATCCAGTGAGGGCCCCTCATTCCTTTCTAAAAGAAAACATTCCACATACATAGTTCCTATTTTAACTACAAAAGCTACCTTTTTGCTATGAAACTACTATTAAAATGTTAATACAGCACTACTCAATACAACTTAATGTGTACAGTAAATATCTGCGTAGAGCCATATAAAATGCACTTTCCACATGGGGTTTCCTAAATGAGCTGGTTGTTTGTCCATTGCAGCGGTGCAGTTGGAATCAGGGACATTCCTGAGCGTTTTTTGCTATCTCTCTAGATGGTTTCAAGGAAAGGATCACCTCCTCACTAGCATAGCCTTCCATCCTCGCCCTTTCAATTCCTGATCGCTCTCAGCTGGAAATCTTTCACAACAACACCAACAGAGCTGGCAAAGGCATAACAGAGCCAAAACCCCCCTGGAACACACATTTATAGCAGGGTGACTGCCTCAAAACCTCCTCGTGCACAAGAGGGACCCGCAGGCTGCGGCGTGACCCACAGCTGGGTATCTCCTGTACCCAGACTGTCCCTCAGCTCCCACCCCAAAACCTGGGTGTTTTGTCCCATTTTGGGGGGTGCTGAGATGTAGCCCTGTCACAGGAGAAACAAACAAGGGCACGAGGTGAGTGCAGTCGTTTCTTGTCCAGCTGTGGACACAGATGTGTCCACACAGCTGACGGCAGAGCAGGAAGAAGGCCAGATTTCAGTGGAACCATCCGTCAGAAAATAAGCCTTCCCTTCCTCTCCTTTTGGTGGCCTTCCAACAGAAATACAGCTCCTACAACTAGCAGGAAACACTGGAATGTTATCCAAGCTGAGGCATCCAGTTAAAGCCCCATTATCCAGAGAGTCCCTAACATCTAGCCAGGGATTTAACAGCAGCTCACAGAGATTTGGCAGAACCCCACACACGCTGTAGAGGCACAGGCAGATTTCTTCAGGCGAGGTCTGCTGCTTTCTCATCCTCTTTTGCACTCTCCAGATATTTTTAGGAAGTGAGGCAGGCAGTGGGGGACACCAACAAGTCCATCAGCACAGGGCTGAAGGCTCCAGCTCGTTAGATTTGATTAATGAGGTTGCTGAGTCACATCTATATCAATCCACATTAGCTCAAAAGGCTCAGCTGATGAAAAGGTCCATCATATACATAACAGACACGACTCTAACTTCAGAGAAAAGCCAGATTTTGGGTGGTTTGCAACTAAAATTTAATGACAGGAGAAGGCTACTCATTAGCTTTCTCTTTAAAGAAGTGGTTTGTCTTTCCCTAAGCTTGTCCTAAAAAAAGGACTTTTTTTTTTCTTTCCAAAAAGTTCCTTGTGGCTTGACCACAAGTTTTTGATGTGAATTTGCTGGTTTCGTGTATTTAAGGCAATTAACAGTTGGTTTACAAGGGCTAACTGTTAGCAATTCTCATGCTTATTTCTGCTTACTGGGGGCAACTGGAGAGACACAAAACAGAAAAAAACCCAAGATTAGTAGTATAACCATTATTAGCCTGGAATTACATTTTCCAGCTGCTTTTATGGCTTGAAAAAAAATCTTTTACCAACTCTTTACCCCAATATAAGTATTTTACAATAGAAAATTTAAGGAAAGTAAAATAGATTTTAGATACAATAGATTTAAGATTAGATATAATAGATTTAAGAAAAAATAATTTTAGCAGCACGGGACCAAATATTTACCTTGGTCTTGTCCATGTAAGAGATGACATTCCTGCTGCCTGTGTCCTCTTTGCCTGCTCCTTTGGTTTGCTCTTACTGCACCAGGAAAGTTTCTGGGATTCATTTCCTCTGGGGCCTTGCCAAAGCTGAAATTGGTGAGCTACAGGAAGCTGTCAGAGACTCATTTTTGTGTCCAGGCCCTCACTTCACTCCCAGGATTGCTCCCAGCACAGGGTACAATGTCTTCAAGGGACTGATATAAACAATTTACAGATGCAACTCACTCAACTTGGAGCCCCAAAAATGCTTACAAAGGAACAATTCAAGTGCCAAACCAACAGCTGGTAACTGTGCTCCTTGAATTAAAGGATGAAGTGAATAAGTGACAAGCAAGCCTCTGTTTTGAAATCATCCCCCTTGCTTTCATGCTGCAGAAATACCTAACAGGGCAATCAAGGTGTGAACCCTGGGGAGAGGCACAAGGGATCTCTCACGGATCCTTGGCCTGCCCCAGGTCAGAGCAGCAGCAGCTGTGATCTCATTTATAACACAGAGCAGACTCCAATCTCATGTTTTATCTCCACGACTGGGATAATCCAGCCCGTGGGGGTTTGAGCTGCACCTGACAAGGAGAGGCCAGAGCACTGCCTGGATTTAGTCCTTCCTGTGACTGATGCACCTACAAACACCTGGCTGCTTCGGGCTGAGCCAGCTGCAGAGGCTGGCCCAGGGTTTGGTGTCCCTGGCATCTCCCCCAGCTGCTTCCCTCTAAAGCCAGCTCTTCTTGCACGATCCATATCTGGGGGCACTTAGGGTCAATAAATCTGTTAGTTTGTTTTAACAGCAGGGTGGATACTTCCCTTGCAGATTATATTTCAATCCTTGATCTTATTAAGGGAAGATGTGTTTTGTCCATTAATCCAATTAGCTCGCTGGATTAATAAGACTGGGCTTGCTCTGTTTCAGGAAGCATAAAAATAGCAGTGGAGCATAATTAAAGCTAAACTTGTAAGTAACTCTGGTAACAAGGGCACTACTTCCCTGGATATTCTGTTTATTGTTTTTACAAGCTATGCTCTCAGATTACATGACGTGAATTCTCGATTAGAACTGCTCAATTCATGACCAAAAAGCAACAGGCTGCCCTGAAAACATTTACTCTTTGTATGTTTATAAAATTCTCTTTGTGCTAAATATAGGCAGGTAGGCTCCAACCCAGAATAATGTTTTCAATACTCGAGAGGAATCTGTTGGATTGCAAAGGAATGAGGGTAATTTGTCATTATTCTGATGTGCCCTGGCACAGGGTGCTCTCTGATCAGAGCTGTTCAAATCCAGCTGTGGGTATTTGGGTGCTGGAGCACTGAACAGCTCCAGGCCTTGGATATGTTCAGCTGTTGGAATCTGAAATGCAAGGAACAGGCTCTTTGAGCCTGTAAACCAAGGCTTAAAATCAAACACAGATTTTGATCTGAGACCTTGGAAAAAACTTCCAGACTTAAGTGCTGAAAGCAAAAATGTAGATTTATAGTTTAAAACAAAAGCATGTTAAGCTAAGTAAAAAAAAATAAATAAAAAATTAGAGTTTTAAAGTTTAAGATACAAAAAAAAATTATAAAGTAACTACAAAAATAAGCAAAAAATATTAAAATACAATACTATAAGTTTATATCTGAGACCTTGGAAAAAACTTCCAGACTTAAGTGCTGAAAGCAAAAATGTAGATTTATAGTTTAAAACAAAAACATGTTAAGCTAAGTAAAAAAAAAAAAAATTAGAGTTTTAGAGTTTAAGATACAAAAAAAAATTATAAAGTAACTACAAAAATAAGCAAAAATAATTAAAATACAATACTATAAGTTTATATGTCATAACATAATTAACTAAAAAAGCTTACACTAAAACATAAATCCATAAAACAAAATATTAAAAGGTTAAGTCGAAAACATAAATATCCTTATCGGCAATATTTTAGCAATATTTTAACAGTATATTATCCTTATTAATGATGTTTTATCCTTAAAAAGCCTTATAGCTAAAAATCTCGTAACTTTCTAAACCATAAAAACGTAAACCAAACTCACCCTTCCTACCTATATAAAAAATTAAATAAACAGAACAAAAAACTCCAAAAGTCCCATCTCAAATTCCTTCCGAAATTCCCCACATATACATGATCACAAATGGTGCTCCCGCGTGATTTTTGGCATCTTTCCCTACTCGAGGACGCGTGGTCCTTTACCTTAAACAACGGGGATACAAAACGCAGAGAAGCTTGGGGTGGGGAAAAAAGGAGGAGAAAAGAAAGTCCCGGAGGGGAAGGAGCTGCAGAACTACAATTCCCAGCGCTCCCGGGGCGGGAAGCGGCTGGGGCGCGGGAGGCTCCGGGATCCAAAGTCCCGGGCAGCTCCTGCCCCGCTCCTGCCCCGCTCCGGAGCTCGGCACGGCCTCTGCAGGTGCAGCCTTTGCTGTCTGCGGGTGTTCAGGGTGCCAGCCAAAGCGTGGCGCGGTGCTTCCTGGGGAGGAAGGGGGTAGAGGCGCTCGGGTCGGGGGAAAAGTTCGCTCTTCCCTCTGTCCCGGCCGGTGACAGCGCTGCCGCGGCGCGCCGGGAAGTGTCGCGGGGGAGAGGACACACACACGGCTGTCACCCCACCAGACCCTCTGTGACACGGCAGGCACCGTCCGCACAGGTGTCTGCACCAGCGTGCCCAGCTCCCCCTGCTCCCGGTGGCTTCCCCACGGCACCGTCCCGGTCAGCTGAGGCGGTGGGAAAGGGTTTGTGGGGTGGAGATGTCCGGAGCCACGAGGCAAAGTCTCCCCGTGCAAATAGGAGCCTGTGCCGAGGCACCCCTCGGGCTGCCATCACCTGTGCTGAAGGAAGAGCTCTGAGACTCTTCCTGGCACCTCTCAGGCTGCCAGCACTGACTGTGCTGAAGGAAGAGCTCTCAGACTCCCAGCACTGACCTGTGCTGAAGGAAGAGCTCTGAGACTCTTCGTGGCACCTCTCAGGCTGCCAGCACTGGCCTGTGCTGAAGGAAGAGCTCTCAGACTCTTCGTGGCACCTCTCAGGCTCCCAGCACTGACCTGTGCTGAAGGAAGAGCTCTCAGACTCCTCCTGGCACCTCTCAGACTCCCAGCACTGACCTGTGCTGAAGGAAGAGCTCTCAGACTCTTCCTGGCACTCCTCAGACTCCCAGCACTGACCTGTGCTGAAGGAAGAGCTCTCAGACTCCTCCTGGCACCTCTCAGGCTGCCATCACTGACCTGTGCTGAAGGAAGAGCTCTGAGACTCTACCTGGGACCTCTCAGGCTGCCAGCACTGACCTGTGCTGAAGGAAGAGCTCTCAGACTCCCAGCACTGACCTGTGCTGAAGGAAGAGCTCTCAGACTCCTCCTGGCACCTCTCAGGCTGCCAGCACTGACCTGTGCTGAAGGAAGAGCTCTGAGACTCTTCCTGGCCCTTCTCAGGCTGCCAGCACTGACCTGTGCTGAAGGAAGAGCTCTCAGACTCTTCGTGGCACCTCTCAGGCTCCCAGCACTGACCTGTGCTGAAGGAAGAGCTCTCAGACTCTTCGTGGCACCTCTCAGGCTCCCAGCACTGACCTGTGCTGAAGGAAGAGCTCTCAGACTCCTCCTGGCACCTCTCAGACTCCCAGCACTGACCTGTGCTGAAGGAAGAGCTCTCAGACTCTTCCTGGCACCCCTCAGACTCCCAGCACTGACCTGTGCTGAAGGAAGAGCTCTCAGACTCCTCCTGGCACCTCTCAGGCTGCCATCACTGACCTGTGCTGAAGGAAGAGCTCTCAGACTCTTCCTGGCATTTCTCAGACTCCCAGCACTGACCTGTGCTGAAGGAAGAGCTCTCAGACTCTTCGTGGCACTGCCCGTGTGTCTGTAACAAAGCCAAGGTGACTTCCTCCATAAAGGGTTTTGTGTTCTGTGGCTGCAGGGTGCAATGATCCCGGTGATCACCAGGGATTGTGCACCACAGCTCACTTCTGTCTTGGGTCTCTGGCTATTTCCTGACATCCTGAAGCTGAGGTCAGGCTTTCAGCCTGGGCTGAAAACGTGGTGGGATTCTTTGGCACAAAAAGCATTCATAGCTGGAGATGATCCCACTCAGCTGCAACTTCTGTCCCCTGTCTAGCTCAGGGAATTCTCTTCCACAGCTGATATTTTGTCTTCACTCTCTCCTGGCATGGGTGCCTTTCCCACAGATCCACTGTGTGCTGCAGTAGGATGTGTGGTTGGATCGAGGCCATTACAACTGTGTAGGAAACCAGCAAAAGAGCAGCCACCTTCTCTGCCCTTTTCCCCAGGGACACAGGGATTTGGGAGAGCAAGGTCTAATCTAGTCTTGTAAGCAAGTTCTGTAAGAGCTGTGCACACTCAGAGATGGAAACAAACTGAGGTATCTTTAAGTAGTCTTAAAACTGGCCTGAAATGGAGTTTGAAGTGTGACTGAAGTGATCATTTTAGAAAGCAGATCCTGCAGACTCTCAGAGATGGAGATTTAGCTGGTTATTGCACCTTTTAAATCGAACTTAACCTTGCAGGGCTGCTGCATTACATTTTATTTTATTTTTTTTAGGCAGAGACACCAGCTGTAGCTGTTGGCTATGGCTGCAGTGTGTCAAGCACTGCACAGGAGAGTTTCCTCCCTCGCCTGCAGGTTGCACTCCACCTATGTGAGAAAAATGAGGTAAGTTCTCATCTGATTCCTGAGTACTGGGAGGCCAGAGCTTGGTACAAGCAGCCCTACCTGACCCTGACCTGGGGGTTAATCCTTCACCAGTTCAGCCATCACACAGAAATAAATTCTTTGTGAGCTCTGTGAAGGGTAACAGCCAAGGCCTCTGGGCTGCCTTCACCACTGGTAAGAGCTGCTTCTCTCAGGCTGAAGCTCAGTTAATGATTGCCTGTCCTGCCTAGAGGGTTCCTACAATACCAGGAAGACTTGAAGTGGTGCTGCTCACCTCGTTTTAAATAATGCTTCAAACAGCCTGGAAGGAGAATATGCTGACACCCTTTTTCCAATGATTTTTTTTCCTAACTCAGCTCCAGCCAGCTGTGCCCTAAGACTTGGTCTTTACCCCTCACATCAGTGTGACAACATAACACATGTAGCCTGATGGGAACCAGATTCAACATCAGAAGTGCTCAGCAGCTCGGCCAACAGCATTTGGAGCCATCCAAATTCACAGAATATTCCAAGCTGGGAGGGACTGGGGTGTTTAAAGGGAAGATCAAGGTTTTCTGCAGTCTTTACAGCAGATCTTTTGGATTAAGAGACTGGGTTACTGTTCTTGCATCTTCAGACTTGGGGGTACTCGTGTGGCAGGTAAGAACTGCAGCATTTTATGCCACACAAACTTCACTAGAGGCTGCAGTCCACGGAAGAGTGACTCAGCTGTCAAAACTCTCCAAGCACGTGGAATACCTTAAATCTCATCTGCCCATTCAGCCCCCCCTGCTCTGTGCAAAATAAAGGCCTTCAAATAAGCAATAATCTCAACACAATCTTCAATTTATCTTCCCAATCATTTTCTCACTACAGATACTTAAATCAGTTAAAGGAAGATGACAGCCTTTGTAGACAAGCTCAGACCTCAGGAACTTTCTACCTCTTTCACAATCTGTCCCCCTTCCTGCAGAAAGTTGGGAAGAAATATTTGGTACCACAGCTCAGTGCAGCAGGTAAGAAAGACATCAGTGCCTCCAGAAAGAAACACCTGGTGGATCACACAGCTGAAATGAAACAGAGACACACATGGTATCAACCTGACCTGTTCTGAGGTGATCAGGTTTAAACATTTGGGACTGTGCCTTTTGAAGAGAGAGGGCTGGCAGGAAAACAAACAAGGCCTTACTGACGAACGTCTTTTTGGTGTAATGTAGGAAAATTTTTCTTTGAGAGAAAACTGTTGGCTGGTGCAGGACAAAACCAATGGACAGCTGCTTCCCAGGCATTACAGCATTGGGACCTTTAGCCTGGGATGGTCTAAACTTCCTACAACTTACGAGCAAAGCCAGATTTTAGGTTTCTACCTGTGTGGGATTGCTTGTCTAGTCCCTTTCACACATGGGCATTTTGCCTTGAGCCAGGATTCCCTGTGCCTTGAAGATCCAGAGAGCAAATCCAGAGATGTTTTTGCTTTCATCACAGCCTTCTCTTCCCCTTTCCCTGTTCAGAGACGAGACAGGTTCTGGAGAAGCTGCAGGAGGCTGAGCAGTGGATGGAGAAGTCGGTGCTGATCGGATGTTCAGACGAGCACAGACCGCGCTTTGCGCTGGATTTAGGTTGGGATGACTCCTCTTCCACCCCTGCCAGCACCAGCTTGATGCACTGGGATGGAGGAGATCCCTAATCCTTGGGAGGACCTGTCCTGCCAAGGAGGGCTGGGCTGGGTCTCTGTAGGGGCAGTTGTGAGCGTGGCAGGTCATGGACTGCACTGCTGCTCCTGTGCCTGTGTGTGTCAGGCAAGGTGGGCTGGGGGAGGCCATTCACATTTGGGAATGCTTCCCCTGATGTTCAATCCCATGGGAACTCCCAGAAACTGTATACTGGGACAGCAAAGGGCATAAAATGAGAATAATAGTAATAATAGCTGAAACTTACGAGATAAAATTATCTTTTTTTCTTTTTCTCTTTTTTCTTTTCCCTTGAACAGGAGCCTTGGATAAATCAGTCATTGAGTCAGAACTGCAGGGATCATTTACTGACCTACGAAAGGCTCTCTTTGTCGTGGATGGGAAGGATTCTCCTTTGCTGGCTTCGGTATCGGACAGGGCTTTTTACTTAGGGAGCTGTGGTCTCTAACATCAACCCTTCTCCTCATCTCCCACACTGTTTGATGATCTAATATTGTAGAAGTACCTAGTGTACACTTTCAGGAACTTAGATGCAGACACACTATAAATTACAACAGTTTTCCCATATTTGAAGTCCCAAAAGAAAGATGCAAGGGAAAGAGAAACAGAAAAGTGACTTAAAAATGACTGCAGTAATTTATGCCATTTAGCTGAAATGTGCTAAATGACAGCAATCCCGGGTTGCCCTCAGCCCAACAACTATCAGGCAAACTGGAAATCACAAACAAACTTATGCATCTTCTCTCAGAGCTGCTCTTTTAAAACCTCTCCCTTATAAGCTGGGCTCTGCAGATGCCCTAAGAAAAGGCCTGTGTGTGAAAATCAACTGTCCTGACCCATAAGAATAGCTTGTAGTGCCTTTCCTGCTCTATAATGTTTGTGATGCCTGGGCTATTTTTCAAGAAGATATTCAGGGCTGGAGACTCTTTAAAATAGTCCAGCTCCCAATACACCTCCCATTATGTCCCAATAAACAACATCTCTTGCCCTCCTCCCCCAAACATGCTCAAATTTAGAAGCAGCAAACATGGATTACGGAATCCACTTTTCAAAACACTGCCCATACTTCACCTTTCTGAGGCTTTCAAAGATAGTCAGAGTTTATCCCCATGGCTGCACATGAAGCATCATTCAGGGAGACTGCTCTGAATTATTTCTTCCCCCTAGGTATATATATCTATATATATCTATATATATCTATATATCTAAATGAGGTTTGTGCTCCTCTGTGTTGGCAGGCCCAGTCCCTCCTGTGGTGGCACGATTCCCACCAGTACTGCAGCAAAACTGGGCAGCCCACTGAGAAGAACCCAGCTGGCAGCAAACGTGTCTGCCACGCCAGTGGAGTCACTTACTACCCTCAGGTGAGCACCTGGCAGCACAGGAGGGGACAGGAGGGGCAGCGCTGCTGGCTCACCCCAGGGGAAAGCAGGAAAAGGGATTTGTGCCCAGCTGGGTACTTGGTCTTTAGTGGTCAGCAGCGACCCTCAACCAGCCAGTGAAAAGCAAAAATTTGCACTTAGTTGTTTTGTCTGAAGCCCTTGTTTTGCTTTGTGGTGCACGTGGCAGGTGTCTCCAGTGGTCATCACCCTGGTGTCCGACGGGAGCCGCTGCCTCCTGGCCCGACAGCCCTCCTTTCCCCCGGGGATGTTCACAGCTCTGTCAGGCTTCTGTGACATGGGTGAGTGGCTTCTGATCCAGCACCCTGGCATGCAGGGTGTGGGGACATCTGTTGGGATAAATCACACAGGACTCCATTTTCTTCATGATGGAAAAAGCCCATTCTTTAGTCGCACAGCTCGTTTTTATACAGTTTTACAGACCTTGTGTGTGACTCCAATTGGTCAGTAGCTTTCTTGCCAATTACTTTATTATTATTAACAATATTGTTATGGCTGTTGTTACCCTGTACTGATTGGTCACTCAAACCCCTGATGTGTACATGCAGGAAAAGTTGTTTGTGAGACTTTTCATTTTTCTATCTAATGGTGCAAAAACAGTTTATAGAAGTGCAAGTTGTTTTTCACCCAGGAATAGATTGTTATGCTAACAAACTGCTCACACCAGGATTGCTTTCACGTGGGAACTTGCAAAATGCTGGCTTTGACTAGGCCAGCCAGCAGCCCCAGGAGAGCAGGCTTGATTCTATGAAGCTTTTCTTTATAATTTTTCTCCCTTACTGCAACAGACATCAGCCATAATCCCTGTTCACAGAGGAGGATGGACACACAGGTGATCTGTGTCCCCATCCCCAGATGTGTTCAAGGCCAAGCTGGGTAAGCCTTTGAGCAGCCTGGTTTAGCAGAAGGGGTTTGGAACTAAATGATCCTTAAAGTCCCTTTGGACCCAAACCAGTCTGTGATTCTGTGATAGCTGGGGGAAAAAACCCCATTATATCTAAATAGATCAGTGTTTGCATGCAGACAGAATTCAAAATAGCTGTTATGTACCTGAAGGGAATGGGAATTATAGGTGTCTAGCAGTTGTTCTAGTCCCTGATAGCAAACGTAAGCTTTAAACTTGCTGGGTTATAACCTCCGATCCTTTTAAAATCCATTTTGTGGCTCATGCGGTCTGGCTTAGAAGAAGAAGTACAGACTTCTCATTACAGGAGGGAAAATGGCTTAAAATTGAATTGTTGTGTCCACCATCTGTGTGTAGACGGGGCCAAAAATGTCTCTGGTGCCTGTGTTTATCAGAGGTTGATGAATTTAATGGAGCATCCTGCCAGCAAGTGTTCCCAGGACAGCACAGCTGGCGCTCCTGTGGGTGGGAATGAGTGTGTCCCGCGTTTTCCTCACCCGGTTTGCGATGCCGTCCTTGCCTAACTCGGGCTGGTTCCAGGTGAGAACGTGGAGGAGGCAGTGCGGCGAGAAGTGGCCGAGGAGGTGGGGCTGGAGGTGGAGTCGCTGCGCTACTCGGCGTCGCAGCACTGGCCCTTCCCCAGCAGCTCCCTGATGATAGCCTGCCACGCCATGGTGCGAGCCATGGCTGAGGTGAGCGCCTCGGCCTGCCCGAGCTACTCCACTGCCTGCCCCAGGCAGCCAAACCTCCTTCAGTCCATGGAATTTAGTTGGGAGAGCATCAAACCCTCCGTAAATGCAATTTTCCACTGGCTTTTTCTGCAAGTGCAGAAGAAACTTTGAGACAATCCCATCATCGCCTGTTGCAAGGTGCCAGATTTCACTCAGGTCACTGCATTGCCAGATTTGACTCAGGTCACAAGCCCAGACCCCAACACCCCTGGATTTCTCCCTCTGAACTTGGCAGAGGAGGTTCCCTCACACATTTGCCATAGAACACTCAGATTCCAGCACATGAATTACTGTGCTCAGCCACTTTGCTTTGGTTGGTTTGTGGCTGCCCTAAGGAAGCCAGCACAACAAAGTGAGATTCTGGTAATACCTTCCCTGGGCTGGCATCAGTGCCTAATTCAGGCATGGATGTAGCACTCTGGGCATCTCTGTGGAAGCAAGGTACCACTGCCCACGTTCAAAGCTGATTTAAGGAACTGGTGCCCTCTGAATTCTTTCCAGATCAGTGTGGACACCCTGGAGCTGGAGGAAGCCCGTTGGTTTGGCCTGGAGGAAATTGTGGAGGGCCTCAAGAGGGAGCCCAGCTCTTCCAAGCAAGATGACGGCAGTTTCTTACCCTGGTTCCCCCCCAAACAGGCCATTGCTCACCAGCTGATCCGTGAGTGGCTTCAGCAGCAGACTGCCCAGACAGCTTAGGCAGGGCTTCACCCACTCTCTGATTCCACCAGAACTGTCAAAGCTCCAGAGAAAAGCTTCCAAAGCTCCTGGAACAAGGGCTCTGTCACAGTGAGGGCAGCACCACACTGATGGCACTCAGGCACACTGACCTACAAAGGTCTCTGAACTGATCTGACAGGCCCATGTACAGTGGATCACCTCTGAGATCCCATGGTTTGAAGTAAATGTACAATAAAATTCTCAGTTCCAAAGCATCAAACTTGTTGTGACCAGCTGTCACTGACCCCATGGCACCAGTGCCCCATTTTTTCCTCCATTTCTTCTGTTTTGGGTGGACATCCAAGGCACCCTCTTTCCCAGAACAAAAATAAAGGGAGAGTGGCACTTTCCAGTGTCTGTGTTTATATGGATCTGGGAGAGCTGTCAAAACCCAGTAGAAAAGACACTGCCTGTTTGCTCTCCTCTTCTTCTCTCTCTTCCCATTCAGTCTTCCATTTTAATATAAAATACCTTTTTTTTTTTAATGTTAAATGGGCTTCTACATTTCCCCCACTGGTAAGACAGTTTCTTCTGTCCCAAGAAAGAGAGAACAGAGCTCTCTGGTGGTGGAGAGGGGAAGAACAAGACCCGCACATAAACGTTTTAGAAGACCACAGCTAAAGGTGACAGGAACTGCTACGACAAGAACTGCACTTAGAACAGAGAAAAATCTTGAAAGGATCAGTGCCCCTTACCCTGAGGCCAAAGTCTTTGCCTTGCCTGGAGAGCTGGTCTGATTTGACTGATGAAATGGTGCCACCTCTCTGGAGGAAGAACAACAAGGAAATCTGGACAAGGAAAGCTTAGTGAGAGAGCCAGGTGAAAGGATGTTTGATCTGCTGCTGACTCGGGCTGGCAGCCCTTCCTGCCTGCCTGCTCAGAGCTCAGCTGCCAGGACTGCAAAGCCAGGTGCTTGAAGGGGGACAGGGATGTGTCCCTGACTGCCACCACTGGGATTCACTGCAGGAGAGCAATGGTCAAAATCTGCAGTCCTGACACCTGAGCAGCAAGTAAAATAGTAAGTCTTCCATGCTTTTGAGACACACTGTGTTTGCTTGTGTTACTTTTACTTCAGGAGGTTGGGAGGGGATTGCTTCAAGCCGTGGTGACATGTACAAACACCCTTCCTGGTATTTTAGTTACCAGAGAGAGAAAAAGTCTTTTCAATCTACTCAAATAGGGGATTTTTTGGTAGAGCTAGAATAGCTACAAGATAATAATCACGTCACATCTTTGGAAAAGCATTACCTTTTAAACTGTTTTATAAAACCCTCAGTCCAGACCTTTTGGACTTAGTTATGAAGCAGCACTGGTGGCCTCCATTCCTGATGTTAAGCTAGCAGGAGTGATGATAGGCAGTACCCAGCCCTGAGCAGGACAGAAAAACGAGGTGAGGGACATTGTCCTCACTTGCATTTGCCTCATAAATCTGTCTGAAGCCTGAAGAACACTCACTGCAGTCAAGACAGGACATGCTCCATAAAGGCAAGTGACCTGGAAATAGGAGCAGGCAATTCCTGACAGAGGCTTCCTCACCAAAACACAGCAGGGCTTTCCCATGGAAAAGGTACCGGGCAGGCAGAAGGGCACAGAGCAACAACATATTTCTCTCAAGAATGCATCCCTTAACTGAATCCTCTTTGGATACACTTGGCTAGCATAAATCACTGAGAGCCTGCTGCTTTTAGGGATTTACTGTAATAGGAGCCTCCTCGAGCCAGGTCTCATAAGCTCTTGGAGGTCTATTCCTCACCCAAGATAGCTCAGCTACCTCTGGAGGCATAAAATCAGCAGGATGGCTTCTGTGGTGGTGTTGGAAACAAAAAAGTTTTAATAAAGGCAAAATAACAAATTCTGTACAGAGAATCACCGAGGCAGGTGCAAGAGTCCTTGCCCCTGGTAAAACACCTCACAAAAGCCATTAGTTTCTGTGTTCACTTCTTTTTCTAGTAAATTGCCCAGGCCAGACTTTTTGGCTCCTGTCCAACTGGTTATCCTTAAGTTTAAGGTGAAGTCCTGAGCCCTATGAGATGCCTTTTTCACCTAATCCAAGACAGAAACTTCTGGGCTTATTCCCTTTTTAAGGGGACAGAGGTTAGCGGCCTTTTCACCTAATCCAAGACAGAAACTTCTGGGCTGATTTCCTTTTTAAGGAGACAAAGGTTAGCTTTGGCACTCCATCAACAGCAGGGCACATTCCTACAATTTACAGCAAGACCCAGCACTGAAAAGCTGCCAGCTGGGGCATTACAGCCCAATTGCTCATAGGTATTACCAGTCAGCAGGATACAGAATGATAGAACTCATCTGATTAATCAGATGTCACTTTTTGGTTAGCAGGTTGAGAGCAGCATTCCACCTACCTCCCAAAAGTAGCAGGGCATAAAACTCATGTTCATCTCTAACAGGTGCCAGCAGAGACGATTGAAGTAAGCAAACCTCATGACACAACTTGTTTATCTCTGACTGCTCATGATGCCTTGAGAAGGCTGGCCTAGAACAGAGACTGGACAGAGTTAAAGAATAAAGCAGGGATTTATTAAAAGGCCTCCATGGATCCACCTTGGGCAGCACAAGAACCCAGCCAGGGCTGCACCCAAGGTGAACCAAAGTGGTCACAAAATGCACGACCAGTCATGGGGTCTCTCACTTTTGTAAGTTTTGGTCCATTTGCATATTGGAGTTAATTGTCCAATTACAGCTTCAGGTTGTGAAGTTTCATACCCCTTGTTTTTCTCTTTTCAATTCGCCCTTGTTTGTACTCTTGGGCCTGAAACTTGTATTGGTTGTCCTTGGTGCCCAGCTAGAGCAGAAATTGTTTTGTCTCCCTGCTCTGTGCAGAGAGCTCACCATCCCTTAGTGTGACACTCAGAACTACACATCAAAGCAGCACAGAATCTGAAAAATATAAAAGCTAAAACTTAAGGCATGACTCAGAAAAATCTTATCTGGAAACAGTGTGGGTAGAAGATTCACTCACCACATGCTCTCCCATCACCTGGGCTGCTGTGTGGAAAGGCCACACTTTGCTATCCATCACTGTGGATGGCAGAAAGTCTGACTTCAGTATTACAGTTCTTACATGAAGAAATTGTTTCACCTTTAAGCAATCTCCAAGACACTGTGGACACACACTGAGCCTGATGTTAGGCCTGAGAGGACATGGAATGCCCTGACAACCTAACCTCATAAAAGTCATTTGTCAGCAAACCTTTTTGAAGGAACCATGAGCAGCTGCCCTTTTGCCTCCTTTTTTCCTCCACCTTTTTTTCCCTGCCTTCTTTTCCTGCAATTTTTTTGCCACCTTCCCCCTCCCTTTTATCCCCCTGCAATTTTTTGCCACCCTTTTTTCCCCACCTTTTTTCTTGCCTTTTTTTTTTCCCCACACTTTTTTGCTGCATTTTTTTTTCAAGCCCTTTTTTTGCCTCTCAATACAAATCTCTCAAATGACGGAATAAGTTGTTGTTTCTACCAATTTAAACCCTAAAAATAAGGCACAACAGAGACTCCTTGTCAATTTAAACTGAATGATGATGAAAATTGAAGGTTTGCTCTCATTTCAAACCAATAAAATCCCATCATAAAGGGTCTTCCCTGATGTATTTCAGCAAGAAAATGGGGATTCCCCATCCACTGATAGCCCTGAAATCATGGCCAAGGCTGGGTTTCTTTCAGTTGATACCCTTAATATTGCAGGTGAATGGGGATTCCCCAGCTTCAACAAATGGAAATAGTTGGGATGAGCACAGCCCCAGAGAAATCCCAGCCCCACTGATGGCGTTATGGATCCTGCAATGTTTCCCACTTCTGCTGATACAGGCACCTTTTGGGTAGCTGGCACTTTTGCTGCCATGGGAGCTGGAGGGCAACTGTGGCAAGCACTAGCTGGGATTCCTTTGCAGATGGAAAACATCCCCCTGAAAAAATATATTAATCTATCCCTTACTGAAATTCCCTATTTTAAGAAAAATTTTAGTTCTTCTGCTGCCTTGAGAGTCTGACCTGGAACAGAGCTAAGAGAAGAAAGTAGGTATTTATTGAAAGACCTTAAAAGGATACTCCTTGGGCAGCACAAGAGCCTGGCCAGGGCCACATGTGAGATGGACCTAAAATGGTCATAAAATGGACAACTGATCACGAGGTTTCACACTTTTAGAAGTCTTGGTCCATTTGCGTATTGGGGTTAATTGTCCAATTACAGCTTCAGGTTGTGAAGTTTCATACCCCTTGTTTTTCTCTTTTCAATTCGCCCTTGTTTGTACTCTTGGGCCTGAAACTTGTATTGGTTGTCCTTGGTGCCCAGCTAGAGCAGAAATTGTTTTGTCTCCCTGCTCTGTGCAGAGAGCTCACCATCCCTTAGTGTGACACTCAGAACTACACATCAAAGCAGCACAGAATCTGAAAAATATAAAAGCTAAAACTTAAGGCATGACTCAGAAAAATCTTATCTGGAAACAGTGTGGGTAGAAGATTCACTCACCACATGCTCTCCCATCACCTGGGCTGCTGTGTGGAAAGGCCACACTTTGCTATCCATCACTGTGGATGGCAGAAAGTCTGACTTCAGTATTACAGTTCTTACATGAAGAAATTGTTTCACCTTTAAGCAATCTCCAAGACACTGTGGACACACACTGAGCCTGATGTTAGGCCTGAGAGGACATGGAATGCCCTGACAACCTAACCTCATAAAAGTCATTTGTCAGCAAACCTTTTTGAAGGAACCATGAGCAGCTGCCCTTTTGCCTCCTTTTTTCCTCCACCTTTTTTTCCCTGCCTTCTTTTCCTGCAATTTTTTTGCCACCTTCCCCCTCCCTTTTATCCCCCTGCAATTTTTTGCCACCCTTTTTTCCCCACCTTTTTTCTTGCCTTTTTTTTTTCCCCACACTTTTTTGCTGCATTTTTTTTTCAAGCCCTTTTTTTGCCTCTCAATACAAATCTCTCAAATGACGGAATAAGTTGTTGTTTCTACCAATTTAAACCCTAAAAATAAGGCACAACAGAGACTCCTTGTCAATTTAAACTGAATGATGATGAAAATTGAAGGTTTGCTCTCATTTCAAACCAATAAAATCCCATCATAAAGGGTCTTCCCTGATGTATTTCAGCAAGAAAATGGGGATTCCCCATCCACTGATAGCCCTGAAATCATGGCCAAGGCTGGGTTTCTTTCAGTTGATACCCTTAATATTGCAGGTGAATGGGGATTCCCCAGCTTCAACAAATGGAAATAGTTGGGATGAGCACAGCCCCAGAGAAATCCCAGCCCCACTGATGGAAAAGTCAGATTATCCAAGCAGCAACATCAGCTGGAGTGTTTGCAAAAGAGCAGCTTTGTTCTGAACCTC